GATAGTTTTTTCTAGGTTTTTTGTTTGGAGTTCCTGAGACTCTAGATGGAAGTTAATTGTTGAGTTCAGAAGAAATGGGCTTGACGAAACACCAAAGACAACACGGCAATGTTTGTAGATTTTCAGCTTAACATGCTCCTTGTCTTCCCACCAAAGGAACCTAACGTAGTCTCTATCTTCGGGAATTAAAGACAGTTGCAGAAATGCCTGCTTGATGTCTGCAATCACTCCAATGGCACCACAACGGAATTTACTTATTAGATGAGGTATTTGATGTAGCAGGCTAGCTCCTGTGCTTAGGCATTCATTCAAAGAGGCATACCCCGGACGTTTGTATGATGCGTCAAAGACCGGTCTGATCTTAGTAGTAGAGCTTGACAATTTTATAACAGGATGATGTGGTAGGTAATGACAAGCTCTTGAACTTGATATTTCGCTTCCCGTCACTTCCTCTATGATGTTGTCATCCTTCCATTGCTGCAAAACATTTTTATACAGTTCATAGTTATTATCTTTCAAAAGACGCTTAGTGACCGTACGTAGTCTTGCTTCAGCCTGGTCATATCCCTCATACAGGGGAGGATGCCCTGTTAGCCATGGAAGTGCTACCTCATACCTGTCACCAGATTTTTGAATTGTCTCTTTGAAAAAAGTTACGGTTTCTTCGTCTAGCTCCTTAGTTGTTTTTCTTTCAGTGGGATCTATGATACCCAAGGTCTTTAAGTCCCATAGTTTGTGTACTTCCGAAAGATGCATACTTAAGGATACCATATTTATAGCGCTTTTCTTTCCTTGGCCTAAAACGCTCCATCCGAGCTTCGTCTCTATGGCTGTGACTCCCGACGGCAAAAATTCTATTCTTCCTGTCAATATTCCTCCTAGAAAATCGGCACCAATCAGCATCTCAATTGGAGGAATCTCTGGACCAACATCGGTAAGCTCAATACCTCGAGACTTCAATTCTNCAGATTTGGGTCACGTATGCGAGGTAAAGATGAACAAATCTTGGGCTGATCCAAAACTAATATGTTGTATGAAAAAGTTCTATTGATGCTCTCAACAGTGATGTCGTAGCGACCATGTCTGACTTCGGAAGTTTGCGTACCTCCAGATAATCCTTGGGACAATAACTCTGTTCCTGAAGGATTTAATCGTAATTCTTTAACTACATTTTTGGTTAAGTATGATCGCTGTGATCCGTCATCCAGTAAAGCTCTAACGTAACGTTCTTGATTTCCATTTCTTAAACGTAGCAATAATGTTTTCAAGTATATTGCCCTTTAAGGCATAAATTCCGTAAATAGCGTAGATGTATTCATTTCCACTCTTGATTCATCGGGAATTTGAACCTTATTTTCTTTAGGCAGTTCCGGACACAAAATTACGTAGTATCGCCTTCCACACACCAGACCGTGAACGCTACTGCGACAATTTTTCGCCAAGTGTCCAATCTTCAAGCATACCAAGCAACAGCGTTTACGTAGAACAATTGATTTTCTTTCTTCTGGCTTCATTGAGGCAGCTTTATGACAGTCTTGACTGGCATGCCTTTTCTGACAAAAAATGCACTCAATCTTACTGGACTTTTCAAAAAAAGATGTTAAAGTCATTGCTGTTGGTTTTTCTTTGCTAGAAGATTCCTTTTTTCCTC